TATTCTTCTCTCAGGATCTTGGGCACGCACACACACGCGCCCGGCATGAGTTTAAGCCACCGGGTCCAGGACTCGAACCACGGTCGACTACATGGGAGTCCAGCGACATGGCCATTGCGCTAACTGCTGGTCCCTGGATATGCTCTTCTCAGGGTCTTCCTCATCCGAGGGCTTGGGTCCAGCCCTCACTGCTCTCCCCAGAGCACCTACCTCCCAGCTCAGCCAGGGCAGGCTGGGCAGGCAGGGGAGCACCCTGAGGGACGCCTTCGCTCTGCTTTCAGGGTGGGTCTCCGGCGGGGACAGCTCCAGCCCGGGCGTCTCCAGTGAGGACAGCTCCAACCCGAGCATCCCCGGCAAGGACATCCCCAGCCCGGGTGTCTCCAGCGGGGACATCCCCAGCCCGGGCATCATCTTCAAGGTCATCATCTACCAGGTCCTCATCCACCAGGTCAGCCTCTGCGACCTCCTCCCCGACAAGAGTGTACCTTGTCAGAGCAACTCCAGTGGGGGCTGTCCCCACCCGGGCATCTCCTGCCAGGACTGCGCCAGCCCCCAGGGCCATCGAGGAGGGCACAGGTAAGAGGGCTCTGCAGGGAGGCCAAGGGAATCGGGAGCAGTCTGTGGGCAAGGAGGAGCTCTCAGAACGGGCGCTCGCTCCTCGTATCTGTTGGATAACCGTGTGTGTGCTGGGGGACGGCCAGGAAGGGGAACATGGGGGGCAGGAGGGAACCGTGATGTGGAACACCAAGACAGTAGGGAATTGGAGGCAAGGAGCGAGGGGAGGAAGCTAGCGCTCACAATGCAGCATGTAGCTTTGGAGGCTGCACAACCAGGTCAGGGCACTGAATTCAAGAGCAAGGCTCCCAGGCCAGCAGGTGGCATGGAGGTTAAGGTGCTGGATCCCACAGAGTTGGCTGTGTGGTTTTAGTCCCAGACCCGGCAGCTTGAAAATCACACTGGGTACATGTGTATGTGAATCCAAAATCCTGAGAGGATGCTGGAGGAGAAGGGATTGCAGTGTAGTCACCCACCTGTCCCAGGGGATAATTTATCACTTTCTCTCTCTCTCTCTCTCTCTCTCTCTCTCTCTCTCTCTGTCTCTCTCTCTGATGAGCACATGCACCCTATAGCCAAAAAAAGACAAAGCTCCCGGTTAAAGGGCTAGTCCTTTCCTGGGGCTGCCCTGTGGGCTGTGTGGCAAGCTGGGGTCTGCAGTGCAACACAGTCGGCCCACGTGTGGGTGCAGGAGAAAAGAGAGAGATTCCAGCCAGGCAGGATCTTCACCCCAGCTTCTCAGACTGTGGGTGTATGTCCCAGCCACCAGGAAGCTCTGGAAGCCAAACGGGCTGGAAGGACTGCCTACACCAGCTTTGCAGGCCTCCCACCCTAGACTTCAGAGTGTCCAAACCACCACAATACACCTTGGCCTGGATGACAGCTGGCTTTGGCAGGGCACCCCAGGATTGGGTCCCCCCACCTTCTTAGCCTCTTAAAGGGGGGCGAGGACACTGCATTTGACACCTGCTCTGCCACTCACCAGCCAAGCAACTTTGGGAAGTTACTTCATGTGCACACATCTCAGTCTTCTCACCTGTAAAATGGGCCCAACGGGACTCAGCTCACCAGGCGGCTGTGAGAAGCAAGAAAACACGTGCAAAGTGCCCAGCCGCCAATCAGAGTGCTGTCAGCCTCAGGCAGGCCTGCAGCCATGTTCCGGGGCGGAGAGGTCCTGGCAGGGCAGCCGGCCAGCCTCCTTTCCTCCTCCCTCCTCTGTGCCAGGCTGCTCCCGCCAGCCTCACCCTCCCCCGCTGCTGCCTGCTCCTAGGTCTCAGCCTGCCCAAGTTCTCCTGGCGAGAGGGCCAGATGCGGCTGCCACCCATCCGCCGCGACCCTCCCCTCCCCCG